GGGGGCGGGCGGGGGGAGGGGCCAGGCAGGGAAGTGATTGGGGAGTCTGGGGGCCTGGTGGTTGGTGGGGCAGGCAGGGGGAAGGACCAGGCAGGGAAGTGATATGGGGGGTCAGCGGGGCTGTCAGGGGTTGGGGCCAGGCAGGGAAGTGGTCGGGGGAGTCGGGGGAGTCAAGGCTGAAGTTTGTTCCTTATTCCCAGTTCCCTATTTCTTATTCCCAGTTCCTTATTCCTTATTGCCGGTTCCCGGTTCCCTTTTCAAAGCTAATCTAGAACAAATAAAAACTTGTTATTAATGAATTACACATCCAAAAGAGACAGAATTTCATTAGCTATGCATATGTACTAATTAATATGTAAGATAATAGCTCACATCAAGTACAGAGCCCTAAATGAAGATCAAGCTAGGATGGGATGATGGGGCAAAATACTTCTTGGGCTACCCCAAATTTCATGGCAATGCCACTGGGAGACTGTCCCAAAGAACCATGACCACAGTCTCACCTGGCCCAAAGCAGAGTTTGGCCATGCCCACTATACTAAGGATAATGGTTTGAATAAATAACTGGTTTTCAGGCTGGAATTATGGCTAGAAATTCTGCTTGGACCACCCATCAGAATACTTCTGCGTGACCAGCGGACTGTCCTGGACATCTGTGACCAGAGACTTGCCCGACCCAAAGCATGCTTTGGCTGTGCTAGGCTGCCAACAGACATCACCCCTGCCACTGTGCTAACTACATGAAATTGAAAAAGGAACTGGATTTTTGGCCAGGATTATACCTAGAAATCCTTCTTGGGCCACCCTGTACTGCACCTCTGTGGCACTGAGGGACTCTCATGGACATCTCTGAACAGAGACCTACCTGGTCCAAAGCACAGTTTGGCCATGACAGGTTGCCAACTGACACCACCCCCCTGACACTGTGCTAAGTATAAGGAACCAAATAAGGAACTGAATTATGGGCTGGGATTATACCCAGAAATCCTTCTTAGGCCACCCCAGAATACACCTCTGTGCCACAAGGGGATACCTCTGGACATCCCTGAATAGAGACTTGCCTGGCCAAAAGCGTGGTTTGGCCATGCCAGGCTGCCAACAGACAGCACCCCAGCCACTGTGCTAATAGTATGCACCCGAATAAGGAACTGGATTATGGGTTTGGAGTGTACCCAGAAATCCTTCTTGTGCCACCCCAGAGCACACCTCGGTGCCACCAGGGGATGCTTCTTGACATCTCTTAACAGAGACCTGCCTGGCCCAAAGTGCGATTTGGCTGTACCAGGCTGGGGTGCTGTCTGTTGGTGCCACAGATATGTGGCCTGGGGTGGCCCAAGAAGGATTTCTGGGTATAATCCCAGGCCAAGTTCCAGTTCCTTATTCAAGTCCATATACTTAGCACAGCGGCTGGGGTGCTCTCTGGTGGCAGCCTGGCACAGTCAAGCCACATCTTGGGGTAGGCAAATCTCTGGTAAGAGATGTCCAGAAGCATCCTCCGGTGGCACGAGACATAGTATGGGGTGGCCCAAGAAGGATTTCTGGGTATAATCCCAGCACAAAATCCAGTTCCTTATTCAGTTCTATATATTTAGCATGGTGTCCAGGGTTGGTGACACTTGGCAACCTGGCACGGCTAAACTGCATCTTGGGCCGGGCAAGTCTCTATTCAGAGATGTCCAGGAGAGTTCCCCGGTGCCACAGAGGTGTGGTCTGGGGTGGGCCAAGAAGGATTTCTGGGTATAATCCCAGTCCAAAATCCAGTTCCTTATTCGGGTCCAGATACTTAGCACAGTGGCTTGGGTGCTGTATGTTGGCAGCCTGGCATGGCCAAACTGCACTTTGGACTGGGCAAGTCTCTGGTCAGAGTTGTCCAGAAGAGTCCCCCGGTTCCACAGAGGTGTGTTATGGGGTGGCCCAAGAAATATTTCTGGGTATAATCCCAGCCCAAAATTCAGTTCCTTCTTCAATTCCATGTATTTAGCACAGTGGCTGGGGTGCTGTCTGTTGGCAGCCTGGCATGGCCAAAGTGTGCTTTGGGCTGGGCAAGTCTCTGGTCACAGATGTCCGGGACAGTCTGCTGGCCATGCAGAGGTATTCTGATGGGTGTCCCAAGCAGAATTCCTAGCCATAATCCCATCCTGAAAGCCAGTTCCTTATTCAAGCCATTACTCTTAGTATAGTGGACATGAGGCGTTTTAGTAGGCAGCCTGGCATGGCCAAACCGTGCTTTGGGCTGAGTGGGACTGTGGTCATGGTTCTTTGGGACAGTCCCCCAGTGGCCCTAGAAGTATTTTGCCCCATCATTGCATCCTAATCTGACCTTCGTTTAGGGCTCTGTACTTGTATTAATTAGTACATATGTGTAGCTAATGAAATAATGTCTCTTTTGGATGTGTAATTCATTAAAAACAAGTTTTTATTGGGTCTAGTTTAGCTTTGAATAAGGAATAAGGAGCTGGGAATAAGGAATAAGGAACTGGGAATAAGGAACCAATTTCAGCCTCATGGGGGAGTGGGCTGGCAGGGAACCCCCCCATTGCCCCCTTCCACCTCCTCCAGCCCCCCTGACACCTTATTTACAGCACTGGAGCCCTGGTGCCAAACACGCGGCCTGGCAGGCCGCACATTTCAGCACCAGGGTGAGGGGCCAACCACAGAAATGCTCTAGTAGTCAGAGTGTCTCCATGGAGGACCCAGTCTCTGGTTGCCCCGCTACCGCACTCTTCTAAACTTCAGATTTTTTAGACCCCTGGATATCCAGGGGTCTAATTTTCTCCCTGTGCTGCAAATTTGAAGCACAGGGGACATTTTTTCATTCCCGCATGTGCCTCTTGCCCCATCTTTAGTTAAGCATGCCTTCTCAATATATTGGCTACAAACATTCAGCAATATTTTATAACAAGCTCTGCAAATAAAAGTTGTTTACTGTCAGTTAAAAGCACATTCTCAGTTTCTCTTCAGTTCTTTTCACCCCTATCTAAGAATTTTCTCTGGGAAATTCTCATGGGTGGCTTCATAAAACAGACACCTGGCATCATGCAAGAATGTGCTAGTCTATGATTATCTATTTTCCAAAGAAGCTTGATCCAAGATAGCTGTGATGTTTGTACAATTACAGGTAAGCAATGTGTTGGGTGATAAGACAACACTTAGGAAGGGATTATGATGCAGCGAAATCAATGATATGACTGCTATTCTAGTTTTGCATTGACTGCCTCTGGACCTGACACTTAGAATGTCAAAAACAAAATATAGAGAGTTAAAAATGACTTTCTGAACCTCTGCTTCTTCTCAGTAACTGTCCATATGGCTGCTTTTACCCCATGATAAGTGCTAAACTGTGATAATTTAGCACTGAGAGCTAAGCTATCTCTCTTTAGCTTTCAGTTCATAGATTTCATTAGGGCTGCAAGGGACCTCAGAAGATCTTCGAGTCCAGCCCCCTGCCCCAGGGGCAGGAAGTCAGTAGGGGTCATAGGATCCCAGCAAGATAAACTTCCAAATGTCTCTTGAAGGTGTTCAAAGTAGAGTCTTGAACCACCTCTGGCAGCAGTCTAGTCCAGACCTTGGTAGCTCGGACAGTAAAGAAGTTCTTCCTTATGTCCAGCCTGAAACGGTCATGCAGGAGTTTGTGACCATTTGACTTTGTCATCCCTTGGGGTGCTCTGGTGAACAGACATTCCCTCAGATCCTGGTGAGCACCCTTTATGAACTTACAGGCGGCCACCAGATCACCCCTGAGCCTGAGCTTTTCCAGGCTGAAGAGTCCCATAGCTCTCAGCCTCTCATCATAAGGTCTGTTTTCCTGACCTCTGATCATGTTTGTGGCTCTCCTCTGGACTCTCTCAAGCTTCTCCACATCTTTTTTGAATTGTGGAGCCCAAAACTGGATGCAGTACTCCAGCTGCAGCCTCACCAAGGCTGAGTACAAGGGGAGAATGTTGTCCTGGGATTTGCTTGAGCAGCATCTATGGATGCAAGCCAGTGTTTTGCTCGCTTTAATAGCTGCAGCATCACATTGATGGCTTATGTTCATCTTGTGGTCAATCATGACCCCCAAGTCCCTTTCATCCGTAGTGCTAGCCAGTGTAGCACTGCCAAGCCTATAAGGATGGTGCAGGTTTTTCCTCCCAAGGTGGAGAACCTTGCATTTTTCCATGTTAAACACCATCAGATTTTCATCCCCCCCATTTCCTGAGCCTGTCAAGGTCAGCCTGGATCACCCTTCTGTCCTCAGGCATGGATGCTGTACCCCAAAGTTTGGTGTCATCGGCTAACTTGGCCATTCCGCTTCTGCTACCAATGTCCACATCATTGGTGAAGATGTTGCATAACATAGGCCCAAGGACAGAGCTTTGAGGGGCCCCACTGGTCACAGCACACCACGACAATTGACTTGCATCAACCACCACCCTCTGGGTCCAACCATGGAGCCAATTCCCCAGCCAGTGGATCGTGGTGAAGCTGAGGCTGCAGTTAGCCAATTTTGCTAAGAGGTGATCATGGGATACCAGATCGAAGGCTTTTTTAAAGTCAAGATATATGACATCAATCTCTTCTC